TAACGCATAATAGGAATAATAATGATAGTGATAGCAAATAAAATAACAATGAATTACTAATCGTTTATTTCCATAGTTCCTCCAAGAATAACCTCCCCACCTTTTCTGGGAATGACAAATGTAAAAGAATCATGATCTTATCAAATTTAATAAGTTAATGCTTTTTTATAGTATAAATATTTTCGATAAAATAGCACTTACTAGTTAGAATATGTATTGTTTTAATATGTGGTGCCCAAACTGAAATAGTTTGACCACGTGAAGAAAACACCGTGTTATCCATCACACCACTGAAAGCTCTAGCATTAACCTCTGTGCAATTTACTACCATATCAATTTCGTTGTCAGCAAAAAATAATTCATTAATATGAGAAAGATGGACTTTTTTTCTTTTGCCGCCACTAGTGACAAATTGGTCAAGTAACTATTGTAGATATTTTTGAATATTTAAACTAACTATTATTAATAAACAATCAAAAAGTGTTATTTACAAAATCGTATATTTTAATATGGATTAATTGCGAACCTGTTATGTAAGACACTCCATATTTGACACCGAATGCAGTTCTTCTAGAGGTATCACTCAGAACTATGTATATAAGTATTTCAAAGAAATTTTAGCAGATAATCTACAAAAATATTTGCAATCTTAGTTAAACAAAAGCAATACCTCTGGGACAAGATTTTTAAACCAAATGTCACTTCTCAAATCGGGCTTTGTATCCATAAAGTCATAAATTCATACACGCATTAATCCAGTTTCTGGGTTCTCAGATAAGGTCCAAAATTCATTTCACGAAATTTTTTCATATTCTATTCGATAATATAATTGTACTTTTATAAATATAAAAAAAAATATACTTATATATCTAATTATATCTATTGAATTTACTATGAACCCTTTCATCATCAATATGAAGGTTAGCTCTCCAGGCCGCTGCTGCCCATGGGCTTGAGTAATTAATATCTAAATTGCCAGGCCAATATTCAGATAGAACTTTCACTTAATATCCATTTCTTTGTAGAATTAAAGCTGTGGTAAGATCTATTACACCAGCACCAATAACATTAACATTAATTTTTTTTGACATTTTCATTTTAAAGGAGAAAATCTATAACTACCACTATGCTACTAATGCTGCTGCTGTAATTTAATATCATATCACAAAATCTGTGATACATATTATTATGGACAAAGGTCTGACTATCTCAAGTAATGTTACATGAATTTAGTGCTGTGATATACATATCGATATAGGTATATCAATTGTAAAAGCCGTTGATGCAGCTATTTTGTCATTATTTTTATTTTTATTTTTTTTATTTTTTAATTTTTTAGTAAAGGTTTTTAAATTTATCTG